CGCCATCAGGTGCTCAGACAGGGGGGTTCATTACAGTTTGGGCAGAATTATATATATATATATATATATATATATATATATATATGTATATGTGTTCTGAAGGGGTCATTTAGTAAATTGTGATCATGTCTTAGAATCTGTTCAAAACACATTCGGTCCTCAGACAGAAAAACATTGGGGGAGTTCGTAGCAGTTTGGGCAGGAAAACATTGGAAGTGTCTTTCTAAGAAAAAGGACTTAGAAATGACAGTGCTGGCCAGAAGAGAAACAACAGAGCTTAAAAACAGGCAAACCGGGAACAACTACCAAAATCCAGAAACAAGGAACAGATAACCAACAAAAAGCATAAAAGCCAGAAAAGGAGAATTAAAAAAACACACCAGAAAGCTTAAAAAGCAGAAAGTTTCCTATTTCTAGGAAAAAGCAAGTCAGAAATAAAGAAAATCCCCTAAACGGCAAACACAATGTGAATCATTCTGACATATTAACAAGCGAATCGCTTTTGAGCAATAAATATCTGCATGTAACCAGTTAACGGGTGATTTTTGGACATTTTAACACCTTATAGAGCGTAATGATGCTTTCAGTCCAGATTTTAGAGGTAAAAAAGCTCCACAGGTCTGGCCGCTCCCTTTAACCTGCTTATATTTGCCATAAATCTAATTTTTTTGCCAGTTTTGCCATCATTCCCTGCTAAAAAGCTGTTTCCCTGTTAGAGAACGGGCTTCAATGCTCTTTTTTAGCTGGGCTGCAAACCAGGTGATAACAAGGAGTGTCCGGCCGTTAGCATGTAGCCGTTAGCGTTTAGCCGTTAGCATGCAGCCGTTAGCATGTAGCCGTTAGCGTATAGCGGTTATCATGTAGCCGTTAGCATGTAGCCGTTAGCCCTCAGCCGTTAGCATTTAACTGTTAGCGTCCGGCTGTTAGCATGTAACCGTTAGCGCCTACTCGTTAGCATGCAGCCGTTAGCGTCGGCAAACAGTCAGGAGAAACGGGCACATTTGCTTCATTGTTCCAAAGACCCAGATAGAAATCCGGCCACATCCTCTGGTGTATGATTTATGAGTGGTGTGTCTGATTTGGGTCATCGGTATTGAGGCTGACTGCTATATATACACAAAGGACCTGAGGCTATACAGCCTGTTTGACTCCAAACCCTCAAACAACAGTTTTTTTTTTGTCCCCCTGCTGGGAGTCAGTTCCAGGTCCCAACATTCACGAGGCCGAGGAGCTTTTTAGATTCAGATAGTCGACTGATACAATTTGAGAGTGAAACCGACAAATAAAAGCCCAGAAAGTGTCGTTTTTCGAGGCTTTCTAGGCTCATTTGGCTCCAAACAGGTGGAGGAAAGCGCATCTCTGGCAACGCTTGGCAGATTTTATTCAAATGTGAGACAGAGCATCTGTCCAGACGACAGAGACAAATACATTCACGGTAATCCCGTCACACATTTACGCTGCCAAACCCGTTTTACTGTCGCCGGTTTCCTGCAGAAAGGCTTAAAAACCTGCGACAGTCTGAACGCATGACGATAAAACGTCCAAACAGCTTTCAGGGAGCTTTATCATTTCATTCTCTCAAAGAATAAACACGTATATTTATTTCTAACTTCAGGTTTAAAACAGCAGTGCATGCTGAAAATTGCTTTTCCTTCTCTAATGAGCTTAATTCACACATTAGCTGGACTAACATTATGTGACAGGTTTGATCCTCTTTTAAAACTTATAAGACCCCAAAAGAAAGGGAAAAATCCCATAATAAAAGCCCCTAAAATCTGTGTCTTGCAGCACAGAAACGCTCACTCAGACTTTGAATTAGCTGTGTTATTAATTCACGTTTAACTGCCTCCGAAATGTGCTTAAGAAGTCAGAAAGAGGAACTCAAAGCAGCCTGAACGCGACTTCGTGTCTGGCCTCCAGATGTGCTAACCTCTGCCACCTGTGCTGGGCTACAATGGGAAGCCCTCCAGATGTGCTAGCCCTGTGCTGGGCTACAATGGGAAGCCCTCCAGATGTGCTAGCCCTGTGCTGGGCTACAATGGGAAACCCTCCAGATGTGATAAACCAGTTCTGGGCTAGAATGGGTAGCCCTCCAGATGTGTAAACTCAGTTCTGGGTTATAATGGGAAGCCCTCCAGATGTGTTAACCCTGTGCTAGGCTACAATAGGAAGCGTTCCAGATGTGCTAACCCAGTTCTGGGCTACAATGGGAAGCCCTCCAGATGTGATAGACCAGTTCTGGGCTAGAATGAGAAGCCCCCAGATGTGCTAACCCAGTTCTGGGTTCCAATGGGAAGCCCTCCAGATGTGCTAACCTCTCCCCCTGTGCTAAGAACAGGAACTACTTTGAACTAAGAACCGTTCAAACAAAGGACACGTCTATTCGTGACGCTTTCTAAACACAGAGCATTGTCAGAATTGAAGTTTCTGCAGGATTCTGTCGTCTTTTCATAATATTCTTTGGCCAGAAAGCCAAAGTATTAAAGTATTAAAACAAATTAACTTTTGTAAAGCTGCAAAACAAGAGCGGGCAATAACTAACAGAATAAAAACCAGTTTGGACTAGGCCTGTCCCGATCCGATATCTGGATCGAATCGGCCGCTGATATTTAAAAAAAAATTGCGTATATGAAGTCCGGTCATTTTCCAACACAGCCTTAAGCATTAGCATTAGCATTAGCATCTCCTGACCCACAGGTCTGTGTCCTAACCATTAAGACGGCCATGTTCATGTGAAGCTGTCGGTAAAAACGTCAGTTGTGTGGGATTATTCCATCCTTAGGGACGAAAAAGACGAAGAGCTGGATGTAAAACAGAGTTAACAGACTATTTTCTATTCAGGTTATTTGTGTGTTTTGCCTTTTTAATACAGTTTACAATATTTTTTGCTAGGATTGTCCCACACGACCTTTAGCATTAGCATTAGCATCTCCTAACCCACAGGTCTGTGTCCTAACCATTAAGTTGTTATCAGAGTAAATCCCTGTTAAACATGAGTCTGACAACTAAGTAAGTAGATAAATAACTTTAAACTTTAACACATGCTCTGATAGGCCGGGATCGGGATCGGGATCGGGATCGGAAGTGAAAAAGGCTGGATCGGGACATCCCTAGTTTGGACACAAACCCCTGATATGTGGAGTCCTGCAGAAGCATTTCAAGACAAACGAGGAGCAAAGCATCCTGCGACAGATGGCCAGACCCCCACAGAGCCCTGATCTCCACATTGGGTCCTTTAGGCTTAAATCCACCCGAAATACTCAGAGCAAAAACAAAACCCAGACTGGATCAATAAACATAAAAAACGGTTTCGCTCTCGTTTAGGTGAGAACGCATTCAGGCCAGATTTGGCCCATGTTGTAATACATTTGGCCCGCGAGACAATACCAAATGACTACGAGTCTATTATACGTAATATATATATATATATATATATAATATATGTATATATATTTTATTACGGTATTATACTGTACAGACCATTAACGGCTCGTACTACAACTCCCATAATGCCCTGCTGTTGTTCAGGACAGGACCCAGAAACTCCTCTGTGACAGTTGGTACACACTACAACTACATTTCCCAAAAATGACCAAAAGAAAGGCAGAAAACAGGAGCTTTTATGGACAAGCTAATTTAATTTTGATATTTAATTCAGAAGGCTGCGAATAGAAAAAATGTTTTAAGTTTTATCTCAGAAATTAACCCTGTAATACCAAATGTATCATATTTGATTTATACGGTTTCTGAAATGTTTTTGCGTCTGACTCCTTTTGAATAATTTAATGGTAAAAACTTTGCTCAAAATCCTATTGTACACAATCAGATACACCTGATAACAGGGGGCAGAAGACTACACAAAAAATAATCTTGACTTATCGCATAGTAATAAATTATTAATATCAAAAATGTATTTCAGTTTTTTCTTTTTACATATTTTGTTAAAAGGCAAAATAAAGACTTAAAACCAAAAAAAAGTAATTTTCTGTTTTCTTTTATTCTTGGATCGGGCTTTAAAGGGTTAAAGCCATAAATGTGTTTTTTTTATTTGAAATTTGTTTTTGCATGTCTCCACTATTAAGTTATATATAATGTAATATGACTTGCTTGTTCCATATTCAATGTTAAAGTAAAATAAAATATCTGAAAATCTGCTGCTAGCAAGCTAATATCATCTGATATTTGATATAATGTGATTCTTCTAGATTAATTAATTACAAAGCAACTGATTAATTAGATGTTTTTATTTCTTTTAATCACCTCCCACGCCTATTTTTGCATCATGTAACTAATTACAGAAGCTTACTTTTTTTATTTTGGGGAAAAAAGTGCGGTTTATGAAGTTCAAATTTAAATGAGTTCATTCCATTTTCAATGTTAAAGTAAAATATTAAAAGGTTAATTTGTTGAATCTTGGCTTTGTTCAGGTTTTAAATTTTGGCCCACTGTGTTTTTGAGTTTAACAGCCTAACCCAGTGTTTTTCAACCACTAGTGTGCCGTGAGTGATGGTCAGGTGTGCCGTAGAAAATCATCCTATTTCACCTAATTGGTCTAAAAATACTTTTTGATAAGGAATTAATTATCTGCAAATAATATGCAATTTTTGAGTGTCTGTGCTGTTCTAGTGACTGGTGGAGTAATCATGTAATAATTCCTTATGACTAGATTTTGTATGTAATTTTGTATATTGAAGTGGACATGTTAAGTGCAATTTGAAAGAAGAAATATAAAATATGATAAAAATACATTTTTGTGTTTATTTGATTCATATTCAAGACACTTAAGATAAGATAAGAATAACATAAGAATAACTATAGTATTACTATAGGCGGCTACAGATTTGTTTGACACTTTTGGTTGGTTTTCTAACCAATTTTTCTATGAAAAAATGTACCTTGGCTCAAAAAAGGTTGAAAAACACTGCTCTAGTGTGCCACGAGTAAACGTCAGGTGTGCCGTTGAAAATCATCCTATTTCACCTAATTGGTCTAAAAAGACTTTTTGATAAGGAATTAATTATCTGCAAATAATATGCCATTTTTGAGTGTCTGTGCTGTTCTAGTGACTGGTGGCGTAATCATGTAATAATTCCTTATGACTAGATTTTGTATGTAATTTTGTATATTGAAGTGGACATGTTGAGTGCAATTTGAAAGAAGAAATATAAAATATGATAAAAATACATTTTTGTGTTTATTTGATTCATATTCAAGACACTTAAGATAAGATAAGAATAAGATAAGAAAAACTATAGTGTTACTATAGGCGGATACAGATTTGTTTAACATTTTTGGTTGGTGGTGTGCCTCGTGATTTTTTCAATGAAAAAAAGGTTGAAAAACACTGAAGAAATATAAAATATGATAAAAATACATTTTTGTGTTTATTTGATTCCTATCCAAGACACTTAAGATAAGATAAGAATAACTATAGTGTTACTATAGGCAGCTACAGATTTGTTTGACACTTTTGGTTGGTTTTCTAACCAATTTTTCTATGAAAAAATGTACCTTGGCTCAAAAAAGGGTGAAAAACAGTGGCCTAACCTGTCCAGCCAGGCCAGCAGGCTCTTGGCGGCGGTGATGAGGTCGACCACAGACGTCAGCAGGTCGTTGGGGAGCCGCCGCGAGCTCCTGCTCTCTGATTGGCTGCTGCGGCGGCGGCCGGATATGAAGTTCTGCAGGTTCTTGGCCGAGGCGCCCAGCTTGTGGGCCAACGTCCGGACGCTCTCCGTCTCCAGACCCGAGTTCTGCAGGACACAAAGACGGGTTACCGGGCAGGAAGAGACTCACAGAGTCCTGTTAGAATGTGGCTATAATTACTCACTTTAGCATAGCATGCTATGACATGATCTATGTAAATTACTGATTGTTTTATTCCTTTTAGAACTGTACTTTTGTGTTAAAGTCTCTGGCTGTGTCCACAGACTCTCTTTTCTTTTCTCTATTTTTATTTCTTTCTTGCATTAGATTGTTAGAATTTGGCTATAATTACTCACTTTAGCATTGTATGCTATCACATGATCTACTGTATGTTAATTACTGATTGTTTTATTTCCTTTTAGAACTGTACTTTTGTGTTAAAGTCTCTGGCTGTGTTCAAAGATTACATCCACCTTTAGGTCAACACAGACATCTTTGACCCTGACTCTGCCTAGCAACAAGTGATGGCTGAAATGTGATTGGTCAAAACCTTTTATATGAAAATACATGTCTGGAAGCAGCACAACCAGGGAAAAAAGCTACAAAAGGAAGCGGTAAAACCATTTGGACTCATGGAAAAAATATAACTGACATCAGTCTGTGATTCAGATATTTCTCTGGCCTAAGAAAATATCTGAGAGGACCCTAAAAAACCCTCAGTTTCCTGCAGACTGACCAGAGCGCAGAGCAGGTCGACGGCCTCCAGGATGAGCTCCTGGTGGCCGATGCGGGACACTCCCAGCTCCTCCAGCTCGGCGTGGCTGATCCTCAGCAGCCGCTCGCCGCACACGCCCCCCCGCTCGAACACGTTCACGTACTGCTGCAGGCAGTCGTCCAGACCTGGAACACACACCGGGGGGCTCTCAGAGAGGAACGAGGCTCTCAGAGACCCTTTGGATTCGAATAAAGGGTTTCCCTTTGAAATACACCGTTTTTGTTTGACTTAAATTGGATTAGAGTAAAAACAAGCTAGCTAGCTAGATGGCTAAAAACAAAAAACAGACGTGATTTTAAGATAAGACAGTGCCTTTTTACCATTATTTTTGGAAGAAAGTCGAAAAACTGACCATTTAAAAAATAAATAAATTGATTTTTAAAAATGAACAAAGAAGAAAGTCGAAAAACTGTCAATTTTTTTAGAATAAATAAAACAATGAATATTAGAATAAATCGATAGATAGATAGATAGATAGATAGATAGATAGATAGATAGATAGATAGATAGATAGATAGATAGATAGATAGATAGATAGATAGATAGATAGATAGATAGATAGCTAGCTTGCTTCTCTGGACTTTCCACCCAACAAAAAACAATAAAAATTCATTTCAGCTAATTCAGATTGGAAGGACGAACTCTGAATAATATATTTTTGGACCTTGTGGGATCTTGCAATCATATTATTAGAGCAGTGCTTCTCAATTATTTTCTGTTACGCCCCCCCTAACAAGAAAAAAAAAATTCGCGCCCCCCCACTCCCCACCGTCACTAACATTTTATCCTTATTAACATTAA